ATGGATTGGCGGGCTGGATCCGGCCTGCGGGCCGCCAGTTTGATACCCCTGGCCTACATCATGATCCGGCGTACTTCAAGGCCTAAAGATCGGTTGAAGATGGAAATACGATTGGTTGGAAAGTTTTTGGCGAAAAAATCACTCCTGCAGGGAGGAAGGCAATTTTCTTCTCATGGAATTCATGCGGGATCTTCCTTGAGAAGTAATGGCAGTAACCAGTGATGACTCGTAACAACGGCAATTGTTTTGCCGTCATCCTTGTGGAAACCTTCTTTGTTTAAGTGAATACCAGCGTGCAGAGTTACAGCTCAATCTCCTAATAAACCTACTTTTTTGCATGTAACTCCTGAATACTTGCACTGATTGGATCTAGCCCAATAGAAAGTTGTTATCTTATTCATCCGTGTCTATTGAGTGGCAATGATGACGTCGGAAGATGAGATAGGCAACTTTCTATTTTCCATTGCATAATCAAGTTCTACAAACAAAAAAAGTAGGAAAAAGGCACAGCAGAGCAAGTTTTGTTCGATCAGATGTTTCTGATGGGACGAAACTTCCTTCGCTCGAATCCTCGAATGCTAGAGAATCAGAATAAACCGTTTCTGCGGTCGTTATTCAGCGGTTTGGGTGCTAGAGCTCTAACAGACATACAGGCGATACGGAATGTTCATGATACTTTTTGGATATGTATTTATTTTTACGAACTCTGTTCATGATCATTGCAATTCCACAGAATTTCACCTAAATTTTTTCTACATATATTTTATGAAGCATTTTCTCCCCAACAGTTTGAAAGTCTTTGTTATGCCTTCCCCTTACAAACGCCAATCCTGGCTTAAGGCTACTAATAGTGGTACCAGAGGTGGAAAAAGTTCTTCTGCTTCCCGGTAACCATGGCTTACTTTCCCAATTTAGCAAGTGTAAAATGACCCTGTGGCTCCCAGGGCTGAGCAGAGGCAAAAGCGGGGGGAGGGGGCTGGCAAAAGATCAATTTTAATCCACAACTAAGCATGAAAACGCTTATATTCAATACTTGGGGCGGGGGGTAGAAAAGTTCGTGGACTTTATTTTTTATACTTAGAACGCTTGCATCTAAAATCCGCATCTTGCTATTTTATGATTATGGCAAGCCTACGTAACATTCCATAAATTTCGCAGATTGACAAACCTTACCAGAGTGGAAGTAAACAATCATGGACCCTGTGAGAGAGCAGCGGATTGTGACAACTTGTGGGCCACCTTTGTTCACTTCCGCTCAGGCAAGGTTTGCATATCTGTGAAATCGATGGAATGTCCTGTAGGCTAGCCACCTTCATAAAACAGCAAGATGCGGATTTTAGGCGCAAGCGTTCCAAGCTCAAAAAAGGTACATTTCCACCTGAGTGGGGATTGCACAGAGGGGCATAGCCCCTGAGAGATTTTTGGCATTTATTAAAATCGAGGAAATGTCATTTGAAAGGGTCTTCAAAGGCTTTTCTGCAGAGGAGCAATTCGATCGATGTTTTCATTTCTGTACTGGAATATTTCAATGTGTTATGCTTCTTCGCAAGAAATGCGAACTGAAGGGAAGACTGGAAGTCGAAAGGATCGAGGGTTCAATTAGGGCACTTCGTCGCTTGGCACCAGCAGATTTTCTCTCGGTGACGAGATGCACATGACTCGACGGGACACAGGAACTACTACGTACCGGGTCTGGCACAGTACCACGTACGTGAAGTGCGGGATGAGATTGTCTCGTAGCGTTCGCGTTTGCCGCGTATCGAATTTTCCCGACTCGGATGGTTCTCTCTGTTTCCATAATACCATGACTATTGCGACGATTATTCTTTTTCGATGCGATGGTTGTTATTGATGTTTTGATATCGCACATTACAGTCTGAGGGTAGATATTCGACTGCATATTTGACTTTAGACGTTCATTAAAATGTTCATTTTAATGGCACCTAATGGATGTTGGCCATTTAAAACCATATAACCATGTAACCTTACGGCATTTAACCATCACCCCACCCTCCGGGGAATTCGGTTGCCGACCACTGCATGACAGCGCTATGAACTGACACTCGAAGAGTACGAGAGAGCTAGAGGAAAATCAAATCACCCAGAGTTGGAAATGAGGCCAGACCAATGATCGGCGAGAGAGAAGCTCCCTCTCATCTCGTGTTGTTCTCCTTGGAGTAGACATCAACAGTCGCAATAGTCATGGTAAGGGAAAGAGACATCCGAGTCAGGATCGATACATAACAAACGCGAACGGTACGGATTGGACGGCGCTCCGATGGGGAATGGAGGTCAATGTATTCTCTCAACTTTGGGGTCAAATAACGTCGCTTGAAATGAGACGCGAAGGAACAATTAATCTGTCAGCGGAAAGCCAGGTAACCTGAGGCCGACTGTTGACCGATCGATAAAAGAGGAAAGGAAGAGGTTTCTGAGGCGCAAGACGCCATTTAATCCGTGATAAGTGTCTCTAATTCGTGAAATGAGCAGTCAAAATCGTAATCCTTTTTTTTATGCCGATGACAAGGCCGCCTCTTCATTACGATCAGGCAAATTTTATAGGTATCTTACTTCTCACCTTCTATCCTACTCGTTGGGGCGAGAACCTACAAACCAAGGATCGAGGGAATGAGCAATACCGATATCTTTTTTGCCTACGCACTCGGCACAGAATAAAAAAGTCCATATCCTCGTCGCTGAACTTACAGACGTCAGTCGCTTGGAGATGTCTTCCCGGTTCCGCTATCTTCTCACGAACAGTCGTCAAATCCATTCTTTCAGTCCGTTACGATCTCTCATCCCGAAGACTCCGACTGTTTCTCGTCTTCCCGCTCTTTCTTTCGGCATTATTTTATTCTTTCCCCCTCGCTTTCCTTCTCTTAGCTTTTTTATTTTTATTTTTTTATCCCTGCCTTGCCTTCCCGATCAGTCGCTACCCTTCCCGGTAACCTGGTAACCAGGTTACAGAACTTTTTCCACCCCTGAGTGGTACCAATACCCTGTTGACAGCATCCTCCTCGTGTCCTAACATATTGAATAATAACTGCAATAGTAATTAATCCAAGAAATGATAATCGCTTGTAGCAGCATACCCAATCGATTTGCCGTTTTCTACTACGCGTGCCAATGTTGTGCAGAAATGACGAGGAAATAGATGTTGTAAAATAAAATGCCGTATTTCATGAGCCTTACCTCATGAAAGGAATGTTTGTAAGCATTATGATTTGGAAGAAAGCCATGTATTGCATGTTTTGCTCCCTGCCAGGGTCTCTGAAATTCTCAAATGTAGAAGACCACAAAGTCATTTATTTCATATGATTGAAGAAAATTCTTGAATATTACTATAAGTCTTTATTGTCTGAAGCAAACTTTGGAATTCTCTTTGCATTGTCCTGATGGTTTACCCTTGGGATACTGTGAACATTTTATGGCAACCCTTTTTTGTGCTTCCATACTGGAGATTACATTTCTTTACTAGCTAGCTAGCAAGTGACGGGGTGGGTGGGTAGTTTTTTCTGCGTGCAACTCGCGTATGCAATGGAACTTCATTCAACTCTTCTCATCGCCAAAATAAATCACGATCAAGGACTTGAACGATCTTGAAGATATTTGGTAAGTATTGCCTTAGTGTACCATGAAATCGAAGGGTGTGGAATAGATATTCATCGAGAAAACTTGCCAAACACTCCAACAGCGGCTATTAAAATATGCCAATCACCCAAAACGGTCACCTAGCGGGATTTTATTGATGGAATGGGATTTGAGAACTCCTAAAGATGTAGAAAAATCGAGCAAAGTTTCAAGGTCACTGGATAAAGCAATGGGGCGAAAACTTGTAAAATGCCTGAGGAATTGGGGAAGAGGGCCGTTCCCTGAATGATTCCAGGTTCCATTTCTCTTTCCCTCTAGTCACTTCTTTATAGGACCGTTGTGGAGAGGCTAAATTGTGGCAGTAGCTTGAGGAAATTGCTAAAGGCTATTTCTAATAGTTGTTGGTGTTTGAGCCATGTAGATTCATTGGCATCAGCTTCATGCATCAAATCGATACATTCGACAAATTTTCTCTGCATGCTTCATCCCATGACCTTCAAACCTTGCTCTATTTTCTACACATTTTTAGGAGTTCTCAAATCACTTTCCATTAATAAAATTCTTCTACCTGGTATATGACCGTTTTGAGCAAAAGCAATTCTTTCGGAGCCGCTGCTGAAATGGGAGCGTTTGGCAAGTTTTCCCAGCGAATATTCACCCCATACCCTTGAAGCTCTAATGGTATGGGAAGAGTATACACCAGAAGTGTATACTCATTCCATACCCAGGACCCAAGACGAATGCATTCGTCAATCCCACTAGTATCTTATGAGGGGCTGAAATCCCATGACGATTATACTCGTCATTCGTAGCACGTAGGAGAATGGCCATGCCGAGTATACTCGCCATATCCCTTTAAGAGGGGAACGAGGGGTATGACGCTGAAACGTAAAGTGTATTAGCGTGATTTCATTTTGGTAATTACACCAATAATGACACTTAAACTAGGATAAGATGGCAAAGCAGCTCCCATGCAAACGAAGCCACCCAATGAATTCTTAAAAATGTTACACATGTGCATGCTGGAAAATTGTGAGAAGCATGTCGTAGTTCGGAAAGCTGGATTTGGAGAATCCTTTCATGCGCATGCGCGAGAGAAGGCAATGTAACTCAGATATGCCCAAAGGGACCTGTGATATCCTAGAGCTCCAGAAAGATTATGAAACCAAAAACTTGAAGAAACGGATTATTTAGAGAGCTGACCAATTGAGAAACAGATCAGCTTTCCTCAAAAAGAGAAGGAATTCACCTTTTGTTGCGTCTCCATCAAAGATAGCCTCCAGACACTCGTCACTGCAGCCCCTTCCGCGGACTTCCAAGTCTGACCCTTCCGGGAGGAAGTTAACGTCCCACTCGAACCAGCAGAACCCAAGGAAGTCCTTGCTCAAGCATCGGACATATTTCGCCAAGGCAGGAGAGTAGTCCTGGACCAGATGGATTCCCCAATAACCCATGGACCTAGTCAACCGCTGAGTTTCAGTTGATTCCAATTTCAAAATGATTACCTTCGCCTTCTATAACTGAATTCATTCTCTTGCCCCAGCCGATTAAAATGATCGTTACATTTATCGCATCTTGTCAACACGGAGTTCCTCTCACAAACTCAGACTCTGAGGGAAAGGACTCTAGCATTCACATGTGAACTAATCTGGAATATGGATTTTTCTCATACAGGGTGAACAGCAGGAGGAGACCTTTTTCTCAATCGCTAAGCAGGTGTGCCTTCCGTTTCTAATTGCCGGTTTCGGCATGGTTGGAGCTGGAATGCTGCTTGACATCGTCCAGGTATGTTGAGATTCCAGTCAAAGAAAGGAGCAATTTTTGGCCTTTTGTATAGAATAAATAATTTCACCTTTGGTATGCATTTTAATCCTCTAGCATTGGGAAGCATTTGTGAACGTCCCCGAACTGTTCATCATGGTGCCAGCTTTACTAGGATTGAAGGGCAATCTCGAGATGACTTTGGCCTCCCGGCTTTCCACTCATGCCAACCTGGGGAACCTGGATTCAAACAAAGACCGGACGAAGATAGCTTTGTGTAACCTGGCCCTCGTCCAGGTTGGTCTCTTTTAACCTATTTAGCGCTGCTCGGCCCATTTTTTGGCCACGTCTACTGCTTCCAAAAATGCTGTAGGCCAATTTTTATACCATCAAGCAAGAAGCACAGCTACGTGAAGAAAGAAACCTAACGAAAAGCCATGACTAAAATATTGTTTTTTGACCCTTTTAGCAAGAATGTACACATAGTCAAAAAATCGATCCACGACACTAAAAGGGCTAATGATGTTTTATGTAATGTGATTCCTTGGAGACAAGTGATGTGGCGTTTCATTCTCTCTACCAGTGCCAAGCTATCGTGGTGGGTACACTTGCAGCCGTGGCAGCCGTGATATTGGCCTTGATCATAGGTGGACATGTCAACCTGCATAATTCCTTTCTTCTGGCTGCCAGTGCCATTCTTACAGCATCTCTTGGCAGCATGGTTCTTGGTGAGAAGATACATTCATGAAACAAATATCACAGTCACAAATAGGTTACTGTTACTGTATTGCTTCGTCATACAGTCATATGTGATGATGATATATTTTTTCTGCGTTAGGCTTGGTGGTGATCATGGTGGTGATCGTGTCCCGAATTTGCGGTCTCAATCCCGACAACATCGCATCACCGATCGCTGGTAGTCTGGGGGATCTGGTGTGTCTTTCACTCCTCTCAGGATTTGCCACTTTCTTCTACGGAGGTAATTTTCGTTTCTCTGTCCTCGCCTCACGTTATTCAGTCATCGCATATACAGTCTTACAACTTTCCTGGCTGCTGAAAATATCGTTTATGGTTTTTGGCAGAGAGCATCTCGCAATTTTAAACCTGAAAGCAATTTTTTGTCTTTCCATTATTGAAGCACGGAATCGGTCGATGAATTGATCGCAAAGTTTTCTCATTGAATCATTTTGTTCCAATCTTGGAATTCCACACTTCCAACAGGGAACAACTTCCTTTGGATATTCATGAAAAGAAGCGTGACATTGGGCAATAAAAGGAATTTATGCATCATGCCTTCAATTCTTTTATGAGCCCTGTTTATCCAAAATGAAATTACAGTATGTTGAATGTGTTACTATTGGAATCATGCACAGTTGCGCTGAGCCGCACATCTGTTTGCCTACAATCCGGATATCATGCCATGCTTTTGTTTTTATAGTAAAGTTTTCGTGGGTGAGCCCATTGGCTGCCGGGATTCTCATTCTGACGATTCCGTTGTGGGCATACCTGGCAGCGCAGAATCCATGCACGAAAGTTGTTCTTCGTACTGGCTGGTTACCCGTCATTTCAGCCATGAGCATCTCCAGGTAGGCTTGTTTCCCCTTGAATCCTAATTTCATCGATGACAAGAAACTCTCAACCGTATTGCATCCCACTTTTCACCTTTCTCCATCAGTGGTGGCGGTCTCATCCTCGAGCTAGCATTAACACGTTACAGTGGAATAGCCGTGTTCCAGCCGGTAATAAATGGAATCGGGGGGAACATGGCAGGCGTTCAATCCAGCCGCATGGCCACGTTCTTTCATCGGCATTTCGAGCCCGGTCAACTTCCGATTGATCTCAAAAAGTGGTGCTTCAATCCCTTAGGCGTCTATTTTGGAAACGGTGAGGTCTTCATTGCAATGTCGCCTTAATTGGTACCAGTTGGCCGGCTAATTCATACCATTGCTCAATGTATATGGATTATCATGTGCTTCTCTTCGACAGATATTCATTCGAAGACGGTGCGTGTCCTCCTGGCGCTCCTCCTCCCTGGTCATTTCCTTTTTGTTCTGGCGATCGCATTGATGAAGTCTGGCCATACGACCGTCACCCCCACGTTCATGCTCTTCTACCTCACTGCTGCTTTCCTACAGGTACGCATCCACTCATCCGATTGAGTACGTTCGTAACCGACATTCATTCGTGATGAAAAATACGTGGACTCGGATTTTCTGTTTGTTTTTCAGGTGTCTATCTTGATGTACATCGGTCACGTGATGTTGCACGCGATGTGGCGTAAAGGAATCGATCCGGACAGTTCAGCCAGCCCGCTTTTGACCGCCCTGGGTGACCTCCTTGGAACAGGATTCCTTGCTCTTGCTTTCGTCGTCTTATATTTTCTTGGACATCGGGAAATTGGTGTCGCAGATTGACTCAGGGAATTTATTTCCGTTACCGTCATCCTAGGCTTATCCTAATGTTCACTTCCCAGTTTGCTCAGAAGCCACTCTTTGATTGTCAAATGGGTGATGAAATTTAAAGGTTGTCTCACTCCTTCAGCAAAGGTTATAGGTCTCCTTTTGCCCTGGGGAGATAGGATGAGGAAACATCGGTGTAAACGCTGATGCGTGCTGAGCTCATGATGGTGCATTTTTTCGTCATCCTGTTGTATTTCCTTTTCCTGCAATTGTGAACGAAATGGTTTCAACAGGAGGTTCGCCCTAGTTGGAGAGCTGGGTTAAGGGCAATCGTTGTTTTACCGAAAGTTTTTTATGGCTTTTTTTTATTTACAAATCTGGCCAGAATATGAGTTGATGAGTTTCGAACCCTAATCATTTTTCATAGAGCCGAAATGAGACATCCCCTTTTCGCTACATTTTCTGGACATTACAAAGTTCGGCTAGGAGAGAGCATGTCATCTCGTTCCCTCATGACGACGCCACACTTCCAACAGGGAACAACTTCCTTTGGATATTCATGAAAAGAAGCGTGACATTGGGCAATAAAAGGAATTTATGCATCATGCCTTCAATTCCACTCACATGTAGTTGACCCCCATGTTGTTTGTTTGGAATTTATAGGGAACAGGTTCTGAATAGTCAATGTAAAAATAATAATAAATTATTTAAAATAGATTTATCTGGTGCGATGAACTTACCATAGCCGATTTGGAGCGGTGATATGAGCAACAACACAAAATCCAAAACAGGAAGACTCATCTTTCATTTTTAATCCTTTCAAAAGCATGTTCCTAAACTTAGGATCATGGCATTCTAGGTATTCCATGAAAATCTCTATGGGTTATTGTAAGCATGTTTTAAAAGAAAACTATTTTGGAAGTGGTTGCATTGTATTTTGATTCAGTAAAAAAAAAAGTTATGTTCTAACCTCATTTCTAATCAAATGCTAGTCATTGACAGACAGAGGGGGCAGCTTGAGCCCTTCTCTGTAATTGCAAGATGCAAATAAGCTGTTTGCATCTTGACAATGCATCTGGACAAATAAGCAGTGTCCGATATACTGTCCTTATTGAAAAAAGCAACTGTTTAGAAAATTAAGACATTTATCCTTCTGGCTCAGCTTCTGCCCGACAAGATACGGGTGATGGCCATCGATGTACGGCGGGCCCGCAACTAGCAATGCCACTCTGTCGCACCTGCCATGATCCCGCTCGAGCTGACAGGGGCCCAACACCTGGCGAAAGAAGTGTGGCTACCTGGGTCTTTCTATTGATGAGATCCTGAACCAATCCCAGTCGGGAAAAGTTACCAGCATGTTCACAAGTCTTTCTTCATGCTATGATAATATGCGCCTAATGGCAGCGTCAGTCAGAAGTATTGGTGCAGCTCAACCGGACTCCATCACCAAATAGCACTGTATGACCACCCATTATAACGCAATATAATGGGTGGTCGAATAAGGCGATGGCAGCCTTGTGCTGCCATCTTGCTCCATACAGA